AAAGACGTGGACTGCGCGTAACGTTAAAAAAAAAATTACATTCCGAATCAATTTGAGTGGTTCGCAACGTCACATTCGTGCGATCAATAGAGGATCGATAGAGATGAGGTAGATGGTTACAAGAAGCGATTCTACGCGATCAGAGCTTAATTAAAGAAAGATGTATTGGATCGAAAATTGCATATCGTGTAGGTGCATTGTCTGCTTTTTTTTTTCTATTATACCAATCGTTAATTTCATGATGAATACAAAGGCACGATTACGCGCAGCAATTAATATTGCTCGAGTAACACAACAGAGTAACCGATCACACACTTTTTATAAGAAATCTTATATGGGAAAATCGCGATTATTGTCAGATATCTGATGATTAATTCGGTGAAGAACGATCATATTTTATTTCAAAAGGAAGGATAACCTAAAACGGTGAATTCTTTCAATTTGGAGTGAATTAATCTAGAACACTGATATACATTTAGAATGGTATGATTTATAAATTATAATTTCAAATATTTTAATTTATAATTTATTAAAAATAAATAAGAAATTTAACTAATTAAATGTAATAAAAATTAAAATTGTCAAAAATAAAAATCAGAAATGTAATAAATTATTTTTTAATATCTTTATTAATGGTATTCGAAGTGATTTATTTTTATTCAAGAACATCCCATTTATACATTTTGTATTATACGACAAACTTTTTAGTTCAAAAAGGAACTATAGCCTAGAAATACGTCTATTTCTTTTTTTCTATAAAGTCATCTTATATTCGGAAATGCCCGCCTATGTTTCCCCGTTTTTTCATCCTTCTCTTCCCTCTTACCATTCACGCAGTACATATATACATAGTATCTAGGACACCTGCGACGCACTGTGACGTTTTCAATATTCTACCATCCCGCATGCCTCCCTCAACACTTGCTCGCGTTTGTCTAATTTAAACAATCGAGTAATCGATTTTCGAGCGTTTGTTCGTCGAGTTGCGTTTACTTAAACACAGTATCGGTCTTTGACTCTTTGTAGTGTTACCTCAAAATTATACATTATTTTTATATATTCTAATTTCATAAACTTTTTCTTTCAACTCATAAACTTTTCATCATATACTTAAAAATAAAATATCTTTCAACATATTATTAATTATACCGTTAAAGATATTTAAATAAAAAAGTTATCAAAATTAATTTGTATAATATTATTCGTAATTAAATTATTTTTCTCTGAAATGTTCTTAATAATTAATTCTCTATTAAAGTTTACTTGAAATAATCCAGAAAACAAAATCTAGGACAATCCATATTATTCATAAATTATCGTTATGAGGAAATTAGGGAGACTGGCGCGATGCTTGACTAATATATATGAAATGACTCATCCTCGCTATCTCGAGAGAGTGGATTATCCGCGAAATAGAAATAGATCGCAATGGGCCGACTGGCTAGCCAAAGATGCCATGCCGGTTCCGGTTTAAGCTTCAGCTTTAGCCGACTCTCTTTTAATCATCAAAACAATGTTGACGATCGAAAGATGTGCGAAGATGAGAACCAGCCCGATTCTACCACGCGACCAAGTTTATTATACTGCACTGAAGAAATTTTTTTCGGGCGAAAAATATTAACATTGTTAATCGAATGTTCACAATCAAATAAAAATTGCCATATATACAATCAACTCAAAAAGAATCCAACAAAAAAAAAAGAGATTTTTAACTTAAGTAATTAAATTCTAATTTTTTTTATTCTAAAAAAATTTTTTTTAAAATAAATCAACATTTTTAAATTGGTGTTTAAAATCTTTTTCTTGATCTCTGTCAATATATTTTTACATCTTTTTCTCAATAAATAAAGATTGATTATTGAAAGAACTGATATGACAGATTAGAAATGAGAGAATGAATTGCATTTTCATGTACATACGTTGGTATGTATAATGTTGCATGCCGATTTATGCAATCATCGGGCTTCCGGTTTACGTAGCGAACGAAGAACGTTTCTGTACGCTATTGTACGTGTGGCAGGAGTGTGTACGAGTTGTAAACCGACGACGAGTTGCAAGTCGCGTGCTGAGCGCGGTTCCGAAAGGAAAACACGTGATTCTCGAATCGGTTACAAGCTGTTTCACAAATCGCTAAAGACACAAAGAAATCAATTAAAAAGTCATAAAAATAAATAAGAAATACATTTAATGTTAAACCTTTAAAGTTCAATATGTTTCAAGATTGTATAATATTTAATAATTATTGTATGTATATTTAAAAATTTGTATATATACTTTTATTAAAATTGTACTTTAAATCTCTGTTTTATATATTAAAATTATTATGATGATAAAAAATTATAATATTAAAAATTTTGAAAAATAAAATATCGACCGATCGGTTTACTTTATCTCGATTATCTTTACTTATCATTTACGTGAATCACCCTGTACACATGGCGCGTGTGTTTCGGCTTGCTTTAATTATAGACTGGAGCCCTTCTCCTTTCCTTAGCGTCCACCCTCGACACCGCGAAATTGGAAAGGCGACGTCTACGAGGCTGACTATACAGACTTGTTTCTGCAGTATGTGTATGTTCGATTGAGGGCAAGAACAAAATTCGAGAAAAGACTTGGAAGAGCTTTATACCTACACCCTCAAAGTACCATCCTAAGCTCTAAAGTAATACGTAGTACTTAGCAAAACAAATACTACAGCTACTAAAAGCTATGCGCAAAGTTTCTTGGCCTAGTAAACTATAGAGTTTCTGTCAAGAACTGAAGAGTGACACGAAACTGTTCACTATCGAGAATGAAATTAAATTCTACTATCATTTTATAATATTTTTATATATTATTTTATATAACTATTATATAATATATAATCACAATAGTATTATATTATCTTGTATACATATTATTTCTTTTTATATACAATTTTATTGCTTCTAAATTTTTTAAAAAGTTTTATGTAACATCTAAAGAAACGAATTTACTATATTGAGAGCAAAATGGAAAAACGTGAATGCTTCTAATTTTCAATTCGTCAATATTTACTATGGGTGTGAGGACTTTGAATGGAAAGAAAAGAGAAAAGATCGAGGGAAAAGAAAAACGAGAGAACATCGTGTTTTATGGATTTCGAGTGCATCTCGTCGGGAAAACGAGCCACGTCACATCCGGATGGATGGATCGAAATACGTAGTCGAATTATACTTCTCCCTTTCCCTTTCTCTCTCTTTCTCGTAGGATAATGCCACCTTGTATTTCCAATTTGCATAATCCTGAGTCAACGTGCGATGCTCTTCCTTAGGGGATACAAGTTGAAAGACTGTCAGTGAGAATAGAGTCCTTGGTGTTATAGGGAAAGAAGACATGACATTTTGAAATTTTATCGAATATTCTCTTTTGCAAGTGTTAATAATTTCGCGCCTTTTCAGAGAATATCAAAATTTAATTGTGACAAAATGTACATAAACAATTTTTAATTTTAGTGCAAGAAAAATTTAAGTGACATGTCGCGTCTGTTACAAGATGAAATAAGTTACAAGAAGAAATCGAAATAATTTACGTACGAGGACGTAACAAGACGTTATAATTAATAGCTTTTAATTTAATTATAAACGGCGGAGCCTGTGCGGAAGCCAGGTACTTAATCGCGGTTATAAAACGCGCGTGTCAGAGGTTACGCAAGGCACGATTCTGACCGAATTTTTATTGCAATGCTTCCATAAAACACTAATTAAAATGCTGAAGGAAATCCAAGTAATCGTTTTTTTCGAACCAGAAGCATGAATTTATCTTACGATGTTATCGCAAAATATGTTTATTACACACATTATGATGAAGGTTCATATCTTGTAAAATGAGATACGCGCATGCCTAAAGCGAGAAGAAATACTTATATGACTTCAGAAATTTATTACTCAGATATAGTAGCTAAAGATATTACAGTGATCCTATATAGCCTGTAATGTTTAATTTAAAAATTAGTAAATATTATTTTAATTAAGACAAAAATACATATAAAGATTAAAATATTACGACTGCGATAAAAGTACAATATAATATATGTTGAAATATAATATTATATAGAATTAAATTATTAAATAAAATTAATAATAGAAAATATAAAAATAATTTTAAAATCAATGCGTTTTAAATCGAAATTGAAAAAGAATGAAGTTTAAAAAAAAGTTTCTGAAGAAATACAGCACAGATAAATGGACAAATATAAACACTTTTATTAAAAACGTGTAAAAATAAATTAAAGGTTTAAGATTATGAAAATAGATAGATGAATAGAAATATTTCTTAAAGATAATCAAAACGTGCCGCAAGAGACGTAATCGTGTCTGTTTTTTTCGTGTTATTCTAAATATTTCAAAGAGATGCGATGATCTATGGTGCATCTATGGTGTACGTATAGTTGCATGGATTTTATCTACGTATTCGAAGCGGGGAAAGAGAGGAGGAGCGAGCTTGTGAGCTTTCTATTTTTAAAGGACTGCGCTCGTGCATGCTGGTTCTTAAATTTACTTCTCCGGAGGAAGATCCGGAGCATCCACGCATCAAATATCAAATCTTTTGAATTTCATTCCAGTTATTTTTTTTATCCATAATCTAATATTTTCTCTTTTCACATTCATAACAGATAAACAATCTATATTCTATCAAATTTGATTAGAAAATATATTTTATGTTTGATATTTTATTTATTTATTGGGTTGTCCGGAAAGTTCGTGCCGATGTTGAAGGAAAATTGAAACGCAGAAGATTTAAGTTTTAGTATACATTTATTAAATTATATTATAGTCGGACAACCCAATATATTTTGTATTTATTTATATAAGATTATACAAATTTCCATTTTGCATATATTGCAACAATAAAATATATTTATTATAATTTATTTTTGTTCTGCAATTAAAAATAAACCTGACATTTCTATCCTAAGTATTATTATTATTTCCCCAATAAACACGAACAATTTAATTAACTGAAGTTCTTAAAGGATTATGTTAATGCTGAATGAACTTTGTCTGAAAACGAACTTCTGCACAAAATTTTTAAATATACTCACCATTTGTTGGGCGCTTTTTGGTTTTCGATTTACGTCGATCACTTTTTGATTAGCTGAAATAAAAAAAAATATATGTCTTAATTTACAAGATATTCCTCGTTCATTTAATTGACTAACGGACGCGGTAAATTGCATACGCGTGCGTACAGCACGTGACTATCGTACCTTATGCACTAATGACTTTAGTGTCGATTTATGTGTTACGGATAACTGTCCAATGCCATAAACGATCCAATACTGTTAGACGAATCACAAATTTATGTCACCCGCTGTCAATCAATCTTTTTCGCACATTTCGATTTTTATTAATAAAATGTCGCAACTCTTATTTAATATAAATGTTTCCAGTCTTTCTTATATTAAATAAATAAATTTAAATAAATTAATTAAATAAGTAAATAAAAAAATTCTAATACAACATTTATGAATATAATTAAAAATTTGCAAATATTTCACGAACATTTCGAAAATTGTTTCTTTTTATAAATATTTTATTTGATTACATTTCAAAAAGAAATGGGAGTGTGCAAAAGATACTTACTGACAGCCTCCACTAAATCAGCTAAAAGAACACCGTCGCAGAGATCAGCCTGGAGATCGGTCACTCTTTTCTTGCAACCTCCTCGTTCCAAATAATAATTAGCCCAATCTGTATAAATCTGGAATCATCAAAAATAATCATACAATAAATAATTATATAAAGTAATATATAATACATATTCTAAGAAGTATTATTATCATTACATAATTAAATAATACTTTCTAAGTCATAATTTTCTTTTTTTTTTTATTTCCTTGAAACATAAATATATAAGTTTCGAAGTAATTTCAATATTAAGTTCTTCTGTTTAGAATATCTACTTCTCATTTTTATTTTTTGCATCTTAATAAAAATATTCGTGAAATGAATATTTGTGGAATGAGTTAAGTACTTGTTGAAGTACAAATGAAAAATTGCGAAAAATTGCACGCGCTCTTAATTACGTCGCGTTTCATGCAATGATTGTAGTTGATCGATCGATCTCTTGAGATTGTATAAATGAATTAAAGGCGATCGTAAGAAAAAGAAAAAGGGGGAGAGAGAGAGAGAGAGAGAGAGAGAGAGAGAGAGAGAGAAGAACGAATAGCTTGTAGACAGCAAACATCGTGAAGGAGAGAACTTTAATAATCGATCGATCGATCGATTATTATTTCTTCATCCTACAGTTATATGGTCATTATTTCTTCATTGCTCGCTTCAGCTCTACGGATTTTTATGTTTGCAAAAATGACAAATAATCTCAATTCCTTGTAGACATTCATTATTTCCTGTTGAAAATTTATTGAAAGTTTTTTAATAAAGTGCAAATTACGAGTACTTATATTTTATTATATAAAAAATAAATAATTTTATTTTCTGATGTATTTGACTGTTTTCCTAAATATGGGTATTTAAATTAATTTTGAAAAATTTGATTGATTTGAAAAATTTTATGATAATATTATTGTGAGCATCAATCGAACAGTTTTCAAATTAATCCCGTGTTACTTGAAGTGGGAAAAGTAAACAGCGCTGATTGGAGCAATATAAATCTTTTTACCTGGAAAAATATACTCGCTTCTTATGGCATGTCAAATTATGCAAACTCTTGTATTCAACATGTATATACTTCACAATTTATTGTTCTGTAAATTTTTATTCTTTATCTTATAATTTAATTTAAAATACATACAAAATACGTGTGTGAGAAAGAATAGCAAATAATACTGATAGAAGAAAATACCTTTTATAAATTTTGCTAGATAAATTAAATTTTAATAGATAGATAAAATAAAATTAAAAAATCAGCAAGAATATCTTTAGAGATCTACGCGAAATAAAATAAGAAAATTATACGCATCGTGCATAGTCATTTCATAGCGAGTGAATGGATTAAAGTGTGGAGAAGTGCATTAACGAGCACTTACGGACAAATGTACACTTCGAAAGTCTATTACGTTGCTGTTGCAATCCTTTGATTTGATTTATCTTATTAGTATGTCGAACACAGTTAATTTATTGCCGGGTTAGATTCCTCCTCCTTGTTAATGCATTACGTTATATTGCAATTCAAGTTTTCCGCCAATTATGCAGCGAAGCTTCATCATAACATCATAAATTCAAATCGCACCTCTAAGAGCATAAATCTTGGTTATTGCATCACTTTAATTATGTTATAAATCGTATCAATTATGGCAAATTTTCGATCGCCGTACAAAATTTCAATTAGTATGTCGTTGATGACATCGCAAGTCTCGATGGTCCTGAGGACGCCTATTCGCATAATGCGCGACAGGTGCCTGGCGTGCCGACGAAATTGAATGCATTTGCAGCTGACCGCGAAGCTCCGCAAACTCTTTTTCTGTCGTTTTCCCTTTCGACTAAAACAGCACTACGCGCGACGCATCCGTTTGCATTTCCATCATATGTGGCGATCTATACGTCATGTGGGTGTTATCTCTCGTTGATTGCAACTTCGTGCAAGTGTACACTTACGTTTATTAACACGCAATCCTTTCTCCTTCTCTTATTTTTTTTCTCTCTTTTTTTCACTTGATATTTTATTGCGTCGCAGGTGCTTGACTGTCACTACTTTGTCATAGTCCATGTTTCATTTATATTCTTGGACAAATTTATAAATGTCAAATCAATATTTACTCAGACATTTACATTTGTCAAGTGCAAATTTCGAATATTGTATTTGCGCTGTTAATTATTTCACTAGATTTTGCTCCGTGGATTTTCATTGTATGTATAAAAAGAAAATTTTGTAATTTTTCATAAAATTATAAACATTTATGTGAGCATTATTTT